CCTCTGGTTGTCTAATAATGAACGAAAACACTCCGAACTCATAGTTTTTAGTGGCGGATCCCAGGAATTTGAATTAGAGGCCCAAAGGGACTTTTACATTGAAGGGAATAACCTCAGTCCCACCATGCTTGGGCTAACGTAAGAAAATGTATGATTCTGGCAAGCATTGTGAGCGCAGCGAGCAACTAGGTTTGGTCAGCCTGAAAGCAATGTGCGAGGCGGATACAGAGATGTCCGGAAGGTGGGTGGGGGGAGGAGCAAAAAGTGGGGCTGATCGAGACAACACTATACTCTAGGAGGACGGGGCATGTTTCCGCGAATTATTTGTTTTTTCTAGACGCCCGAAAATAACATCTGAGGCGTTTTGGGCGATCAATTATTTCTTTCTTTCTTTTTTCTTTTTTTAACTTTCCAAAAAAAGAAGGGCAGCGGCCCCTCCCCCTCCTAATCCGCCCGTGATGGGTAAACAAGAAAATACATATGGTGTGAGATTTCACTTTTCCCTTGCACTACGAACAAAGGGTAATTATTTCATAAACATGAACCTCCCATGAAGGCCTTTTTTAAATAGGTCTGAAAAGCAAGCATGTTGTTTTGGTACTACTGCAAGCATTTTCTTGGACGTGAGAAAGCGTAGCCTATATATCGTATTATCGCTTTTATATTATTTTCTTTAATATAGTATTGCTTAAGTCTATAATATTAGTTTGACGCAGCTAAAAGTGTACCATCTAATTTTCGGTTCGACTTCTTCATTGTATTTGTTGTCAAAATATATTACAAGTTGGTCACTTACGGGAGGTAAATCATAAGAAAAAAAATTCAACAGTTAACGGTAGATGGTGGCTTACGAGAGGTATCAAAAGCACTGATTTGATAGGTAGAACAAACGGGACCATAATGAGAGTGGACGTCAATGGAGGACGTGATCGCTTACTAGCAGTGGTCGCACAGTGAGGTTAAACTGCATTATACCAAGGAAGGGTGAATTTACACTCTTTCCTTTACCAACTAATACTGTAACAAAACAGGGTTCTATTTGCTACTACGATACGGGCAACCAAAAAGTTACCATAAAATTCTTTTTAATTTCAACTTTAATTATTAATGTACGAAAAGCATTCGGTATTCATAGATGACGCGGCGTGTGCGCCAGGTCTGAGGCAAGTGTCAGTTAACCCTGTAAATCAAAATAAAAAAGAGGGTGGCTTATATTTCATATATTTTCAACATTATCGATCATTTAGTATTATAATCGGGATATTTTAATTTTTGATTCATTTTAGGGGGATTACGACCCCTTTTGGCTGCGCCCCGGTGGTTACGGGCCTGAAAATTCAAGTGATTTTAATGAACTGAAAGACGAAAATTACCGATTCTATAAACCAGATCTTTTAAAATACCGAATGGTACGAGAGCAGGGGAACAGCTAGTGAATTCGTCTTTTCTGCCAGGAAATTCCGCACTTTTGACGTCAATATGTGTGACATGCCTCATAATACTTTACAGTAGGCCCTACTAGGGCATGTCACAATACATGTTTGATTTTCTTCTGTAATATATTATCGTTATCTTCAGTTTTAATACAGTATCCACACCGCACCTATAAACTATTCATAACTGTACATTTCTATGTATAGCACCACCTATAGTCGAAAATAAACGATTCTAGAAAACGGTAGATTGCTGTATGGTTGTGTTGTTCATATACTCGTGAAAGTTTACATTCATACATACTTTATTGAGTTCACCATACACTACAGATTGGCGACGAGTATAAAGATAAAATTATTAGTATACTAGAAGATCAATATGCCGACTATCGGGCATCTAGAAGCCTACGATAATACAGAGGATTGGAACTCTTACGCCGAGAGGCTAGAATCCTTCGTTGATGCAAATGACATCGACCCTGAAAAAACGTGTTGCTACGCTACTGACGGTGATCGGCGCGAAGACGTACATCCTATTAAAAGATCTGTGCACGCCCGACATACCCAAAATTAAAACGTATGAGGAGTTATGTGAACTACTCAATAAGCATTTTTTTTACCAAAACCTCTAGTAATTGCAGAGCGTTTTCGCTTCTATAAATGTAATCAACAGGCTGGTGAAACAATAAGCAACTACCTGGTAGAGCTGAGGCGTTTAACTAAACATTTTGAGTTTGGAGACAGGCTTAACGAATCACTCAGAGACAAATTCGTTGTTGGATTAACATCAGCCACAATACAAAAACGGCTGTTAACAGAAAAAGGGTCAACACTTCAAAAAGCTACAGAAGTGGTATTAGGAATGGAGTCTGCAGCCAAGGACGCTACAGAAATTAGTGGAAAACCACCTCAACCTGTTGATTACATACATAAGGGCACCAAACCTAGACATAGTACCGCTAGTCATACATCAGCTCAACATAAGCCACAAAATCAGTGCTACAGATGTGGTAACCCAGCACATAGGGCAGATACATGCAGATTCATTGAAACAACATGTAATTTATGCAAGGTCAAAGGGCACTTCGAAAAGGTATGCTTCAAGAAAAAGAAAAACACTAGTGGCCATACAACCGGACATACAACAAAACCCAATAATAAAACTCAACATCGCTATAACAAAAATAAGCGTGTACACAACTTTGAGGGCGTATCAGAATCCGATGATGAGTTAGAGATTACTGGTATTAATCAACTTACAGTGAACAGTGTCAAGTCTAATACGACACCTTATTGGTGTACCCATACATAAACGGACAAAAAGTAAAAATGCAACTAGACACGGGAGCGACATATTCAATAATGAATCTAGATGACTTTGAGGAGAACTTTCCAAACGCACAGTTATGCAAAGTAAAGGAAGGTTTCCATACATACACTGGTGAAAAAATAGAGTGCTCAGGATCCTACAATGTACACATTAACTACAATGGACAAACGGTAAGCGACAAACTGTTTATCGTAGACAAGGGTGGCCCACCACTATTTGGTAGAACTTGGTTGAGCAAAATAAAACTACCATGGCATGAAATCTTCAACATAAACTACAGTACAAACAACACATGTGGGAACAGCAAAACACACATGCAAGTTGATCAACTGACAGAAAAAAATGCAGAACTGTTTTCAGAAAGAGTAGGGCTCCTGCTGAAAGGACAAAAAGCCAATCTTCACATGGAGGTGAAGGCTATGCCGAAGTTCTGTAAAGCCAGAGAAGTACATTGCGCATTGCGACCAGCAGGGGAAAAAGAGCTTGACAGACTCGAAAACGAAGGCATAATCACACCAATTAAGTTCAGCGAATGGTCGACTCCAATAGTCCCCATCGTGAAACCGGACAAGTCAATAAGACTATGCAGAGACTACAAAGTAACTGTCAACCAGGCCATAAAGCCGGACAAACACCCAATGCCGAAAATAGAAGACGTTTTCGCAACACTTGCTGGAGGGGAGAAATTCTCAAAACTTGATCTAAAAAACGCATACGTACACCTAGAAATGAGCGATGAAGCGAAATGCATACTTACCATAAACACACAGAAAGGTTCATACCAAGTAAACAGACTACCCTATGGTATAACCCCAGCTACCGGAATTTGGCAACGAGTCATGGAACAAGTCTTACAATGCATTCCTGGTGTTGCATGTATTCGGGATGATATGATTTTAACTGGCCAAAATGATGAAATACACTTACAACATCTAGAACAGGTGTTACAACGACTAAAAGAAAATGGACTGATTCTGAACAAGAACAAATGTCAGTTTCTAAAATCAAAGGTATCCTTCTTGGGTCATGTGATAGACAAACACGGCCTCCATAAGTCACTCGACAAGGTTGATGCAGTGATCAATGCCCCAGCACCTACAGATACAACAATGTTGCGTTCATTCATCGGCTTACTGAATTACTACCATCGATTCCTACCTAACTTATCTTCCGTACTCTATCCATTACACCAACTTCTTCCAAAAGGAAAGCAGTGGGAACGGTCCAGTGAATGTGAAAACGCATTTGTGAAAGCAAAGAATATGATAGCGGAATAACAAGTATTAGCGCATTACGACCCCAAGCTTCCCGTTAGATTAGCTACGGATGCATCGCCATACGGCCTAATGGCAGTGTTGTCACACATCGTAAATGGTAAAGAGAGACCAATTGCATTCGCCTCAAGAAGCTTTACTGCAGCAGAAAAGAATTATTCACAGATTGACAGAGAAGCACTGGGGATTGTATATGGTGTAAAGAAATTTACTTCTTACCTGTTGGGGAGAAAATTCACCATATTAACCGATAACCAACCACTCACCGGATTGTTTAGCCCGACGAGAGTAACCCCAGCTACAGCCGCAGCTAGACTAACGCGTCAAGCGATTTTCCTTTCAGGATTCGATTATGAAATAGTATACCGTCGAAGTACAGACAATACGAATGCAGATGCATTATCAAGACTGCCACTCAGCTCACAAAAGGAAAAACCACGAACACTGGATGACACAGAATTATTTTACACTGACTGTTTTGAAGTTTTACCAGTTACATTCAAATAAATTAAACTACACGTACAACGCGATTCAATTCTGTCGCGAGTGGTAGACTATACGAGAAATGGCTGGCCTAACGAAAGGAACGAGGAGCTCGAAGCACTACTTTCGTAGAAAAGATGAGTCAAGTGGGTTGTGGCCGACATTGTTGAAATAAAGGGACCACTATCTTACATTGTAAAAACACATCAAAGAGGACTCTGGAAAAGGCATGTTGAGCAGCTAAGGGAAACACAAATAAAGGTACCTGAAACTTCAGCGCCTATGTTAACACAAAACGTTCCAGAAGCAACGCCCACAGATTGAACCCCAACCATTAGCTGTTAATGATTCGCAAAATGCGGACGTAGTAAATGACTTGCCAAAAGAAACATATACTAAAGAGATCACTCGACGCTCTAAGCGAGTCATTAAAAGTCCTAAACGACTCATAGAAGAAATGTAAGGGACTCATTATTTTTCAATAACAGAGAACACGGACACTTTTAAACTGGACATTGATTGATCTTTATTGCCAACAAACCATAATATTCTTTTCTTACGTGAAATTCAACAACGCAATCATATTGTTTATCAGGAAGTCAGTTTAGTTTGTTAAATATTGTTTGTACATGTATGTTTTAAAAAAATGAAATAAAATAAATATATATAAAACAATAAAAATAGATTCTAAAGAGACCATTATCAAACACACCCAAATGTTAAAATCACTTTCAGATTAAGTGCGGGAGAGTTGTAATATATTATCGTTATCTTCAGTTTTAATACAGTATCCACACCGCACCTATTCATAACTGTACATTTCTATGTATAGCGCCACCTATAGTCGAAAATAAACGATTCTAGAAAATGGTAGATTGCTGTATGGTTGTGTTGTTCATATACACGTGAAAGTTTACATTCATACATACTTTATTGAGTTCACCATACACTACATCTTCACATGCGTGTATCTAGTGGGAGATAAATGCAATTTGCAATTGGAAGTGTTGTGCATGCATAACCATGAATAACCTTCCAGACGAGAGCAAAAAGAACTCATCATATTCAGTGCTTGTTAATAATAATAATAATAATAATAATAATAATAATAATAATAATAATAATAATAATAATAATAATAATAATTCTGGATTTATATTGCGCCTCACGTTGACACAACCTCGAAGCGCTTGAGCATTATTACCCCCGGATCACTGGATCAAGCACATATGGAACACACACTCAAGCCCCGTTAGGGAATTCCATAATGTTGCAGCTGTATTCAGCGCAGGCTGTGTTTGAACCTACCAGGTACCCACTTGTACTCCTGGGTGGAGAGAGACAACTGTAGATAAAGTGCCCTGCCCAAGGACACAAGCGACTTGCACAGCGAGAGTTTTGAACCCCCGACCTCAAGGTTGGGAGTCCAAAAAACAGCCGATGCGCCAACCACTTGTTATAGTTTGAGTATTGCAGGGGTTCCGCGAGTGCTTTACAGTATAACCAATCTTCAATATTACAGGCCTAACAATAGATTACTGGTTAAAATGAAAATATTTAGACTTTTTTCAAATCACAGAAAATCAAAATTGTTATATTCAGTGCATTCCCGACTGTCATGAAAATGTGAAAATTCTTAAAACTGGTGGAGTACGGACGCACCCATCGCACCACCCCGCCCACTAGACAGACAGGCCTGGAAAAATTTAAGTTTTACTTGCCAGTATTATATTAGGTATCTTCTAAGACATACTTTAAAAAAATATTTATCTCTCACCCTGACCTTCGCCATGGCGAAGGTGCAAAGGTCTGGGTCCGCGCCTGAGAATGCATGACTATAGAGAAATAACATCATGTATTCGCTGAAATTTGTTATATTAACTTGGCCTACTTTAAATACAGAATGAGTTATAAATAGCAGTACAGTAGATTAAACTGATATTATTATTTTTTTGTAAAGCTGTAAAATAACAATTCTCTAAAAATTTAGTCTCATTTGAGAAAGCAAAACCAAATCTATATATACATCATAACCCACCGTTATATAATGAGCGTAATTTCGTAACTAACTCGGTGTTACGTAAGAAAAACTTGTAACAGAAGCCGGGCACTCACTGCATACGACGGTCGTACGACCGTCGCACGACGAACCCAACTCCGCTCCATGTGAGCGCTAGACCACGCAACGCCGTATGCTGATTGTCAGTGGTCGTCTGAACGGATCGTCATTAAAAACGATCGTCGCGTTGCGTTTTTTTTTTTTTTATAGAATTGCGTTGGCCGACCACCGTCGGGCGTAATGAGTGCCCGGCTTAAGGGCTCACTCACCGTCTCGTTCGGCGACTCCAACAGGACAGTGCAAGTAATGATCTCTATATGGACTGAAATATGGTGCGAGTCGTACATCAATCTCGAACGAATGAATAATGAAATTTTTACCATCTGGGTAAGTTTCCCGAAACAACTCTACTGTTGACGCCATATTACCACCGCAGTCAAGTAGTATTTTTCTGGGTCCTGATGTATTTAATTCATTGAGCTTATTGTCGACATTTTTAGTTCCATAATTTAGTACACTCGATAAAACGTCATGCATTCTGTAAAAGAATCATCGAAAAAAATATGAAAATATTGAAACGATTTTCGTTAACAGCGAACGTGTCGTGGAAAGGCTTCTAAAATATTACTCGGACTTATGTACACGACACAAAGATGAGTAAGCATGACCTTTGGTCATCTGCCTGAAGATTGGCTAAGTAGACCAGGAGCCCGGGGGTGTAGCATAGCTGGAAAGTTAACCAATTTTTGTGTATATAGTAATGTTCTATGTGCCTGTCTATGTAGGAGAATGGGCATCTGCCGGTCCCTTTGTGGTGGGTGTGGTCAGGAGGGGTATAAAAAGGGCCCCAAAATTTAGCTTGATCAACTTGTGAATTAACCCAATGAAACCTATTAGAATATATTCGGCATCGTTCAAGATATCATGAATGGACAATGCCAGACATTTCCAATGGTGGGGGGTGGCTGCTAGACGCAAAAAACTGGTACCCCAAAATTAAGCTATATCAGCTTGTGAGTTAACCCGATGAAACCTACTGGAAAATGTTGGGCATAGTACCAGGTATCAGGAATGTTTACCGCCAGACATTTTTAATGGTGGGGTATACCTGCCAGACACCCCCAAATACCCCGCCCAAAAAATTGACCTAGATCAGCTTGTGAGTTAATCCGATAAAAGTAGTCCAAGTTATTATGAATGGCCACCACCAGACAATTCTGATGGTGGGGTGTGTCTGCCAGACACCCCCTTATTCCCTGCCCCAAAAATTGACCTAGATTATCTAATATTATCTAGTTAACGTGATGAAAGTAACTGTGAAGTGTTCGGCATTGTGGTGGGCAAAGTGATAGAAAATCCCTAGTCTTTTACGGCCCGACACTGATCACCTGTAAAAAGTAATATTAAAACTGAGAATCAAATGACATAAAAGCACTGCATGAAGGTTTTTGGAAGCACACTTGAAACATCAAAGCAAGGTTTCGGCCCTCTGTGTTAAATCGAAAATTCACTTTTGCCCTCCGATTGATTTTTATGCCCACCCCTACTCTAAATAAGAGTCTATTATACTGTACGGATGGAAGTGTGGGTTAATAAGGGTGGGTGGAGAGCCATGAAATTAGCTTCAGACTGGATCGAAAACTTCAAGTACTATAGTAATACTATATAATCTTTTATTATTTTTAGTAGTCAATATTACAACAGTTTAACAATGAGATTCTATACAGGATTTAAATTTTATAATAGCCCAATATTCAGTAGAGTAGATTTCCCTACAATTAAAAATCGTAATGGTACTGGGTTTAGGAGTTCGTGCTTCAAACAGGTTATTCCATCCGTAGAAGCCTTTTAATGAAGAAAGTGTACCTTTTTAGGAAGGATTGCCTAAGTTAAAACTCACTCGGCGATATGAAATTAATTATAAGCTTGAATTATTAATCTTTCTGTAAGGAATACTACAGTAACTTCACGTTAAATTTTAATTACAAGTTGAATTATATAAAATTCAAATTAAATGTCGTAAGTATTATAGTTTGTCTATTTGCCTAATTTGGTTTAGAAAAATCCAAAAACTTCTTTATTACAGGTTTGTTAAACTTGCCTTATTTGCTCACTTGGTAGTGCTAAATAGATAAATTTTGAATTGGTGCTATATAAGTATTTGTTATGTACAATAATTAGTATTATCTAATTAGTATTATATTACTAATTTGATAAAAGACCAACGTTTGTGATGATTTACCATCTACACTCGTGCACAGTTGAATATATCGTAGCACCATTCTTTTAGGTGCCTTAACAGTCTTGAAGACATTTTTTGAGTTCATTGAACATATTGCTATACTTTCAGCGTAAGAAAAATAAAGCAATTAATTTACTCAGAATTCAAAGTTACACCCTATATTGGAAAAATGACTATACTGTATATATTGGGGTATTAGAGGGTTACAGTAACTCATGA